ATTTCATTTGTTTTTTTTGTGTGTTGTTTTGTCTTCAATGGCTTTGTTTCGGATTTTCATTTAATCAGTTTTGAACTGTATGATTGTAAACATTGTGAACATAGTGAACTTTCTACTTAACATTTAATTCTTTTGACATAACTTTTTGATTTTGTAGGCAGATGCATCTTAAGGCATGTTCTTGATTCTTGCTTGTTACTCTTGGATTGCCAGTTCTCTTCAATGTTTTTACAATTTGAGATTGTTCATATTTCTTCAATGTATAACTTACTGTTGAAGCAGAATAACCCAGCTGTTGAGAAGCTTCTCTCCAAGTTTTCTCTTTCAAAATCAAAGTCACAATTTGGTTTTAAAAATCCACATGTATTCTTTAACAGGACCCAATTTAAAGCAATGCAAAGCAACAATAATGGAAATAGATATATGTAATACTTTCAGACAACTAATTTGCATAAACTAGTGTAATTATTGTTACACAGAATGCTTTAATGTTTTTTTTATATGTGCCAAATTATTTTTCCAATATGATACTTTGCATAATAAAAGCACTTATCATTAGAAAAACTATTACTCACAATTTCTATTACTCTAGGATTATTTGTTAACAAATAAAAAAATTTCTGCAATCAATAGTTTTTGCATAGCTGCTGTTTGAAAACTTTTTTCTAGAGGTTGTATATGCATCTATTTTATATTTCTTTTGTAATTTTAGCCAAGCAAAAAAGAATTCTTAAACATTTGCAATTTTCTATTTTGATTTATTTACATCATGATATTTTATAGTATTTCAAATCTATTTTGTTTCAGATAATTGAAGAAATGCTTAAGGAATGATAAGGGATCTTCTCTATTTATATTGCAATGATGACAGTAACTCAAAATATATGTTACATGGTTTTCCAGAAATATATCAATTATTTAAAGAATCCTAGGGAATTCTCTCTCTAGAATCCTGATTCATTTTAAAAGTTCTCATTATCTATATACATAAACCATTGCTGCCAATCATCAGTAGTTATTTTATAGATAAAGAGTTGAGATGAGGCTGTATATAAAATTCTTGGCATTCCAATCCTTTTGGTTGGCAGCACATACTTCACCAAATAATCAGGCAAGTGATTGGTTTTCTGCAAACAAAAGTGGAAAACAGCATACCAATAACATGTATTACTATACATGCAGTCTTCCGGAAAAAATAACAATATAAATTATTAATATCACAAAATATGCCTTTAGTACAGCTATTTGGTTGTATGAATTTAATAGGAAAACAAATCACTGCTGCAAAGTTATATTTGTCTAGAAAAGTTCAAAGTCTATGCTATTGAGAATACTACAGTATATGTGTAAAGTAAATTAATAAAAATAAAATTGTTTGGGTTTTGTAATTTACTGTTTATCATTAAATTGTATCCTTCTTATTTTTAACTGACACATGCAAGCACTCTGGTAAGAAAAACAAGTTTGGATATGGAAATAGGAAGGAGTTGTGTTTAGTGTCCCTTATTGGTTGTATCAAAATATGACCAGTTTAATATAATTACTGATGATAAAAATTCTACTTACACTTTGCATTATCAAAATAAATTAATATTTGCTACAGATTTGTGAAGAGATGAAAAAAATATAAATATATAAAAAGAAAAATATTTCAATGTAGTTATTCAAATGCAGAAATTAAACTGTTATAATTTTTATTGGAAGCAAATTTATTAAAGTTAATCATTATTAATAAAATTACATCTGAGATAATTAATCTTTTGTGATAATTTTTTTTTCTTATTACTGTATTTAGTTTGTTTAGGAAAAAGGATCATTTTACTCAAATACATATACAGCATATTTATAAACAAATTATATAAAAATTAATGTGTATTAAATATACAATACTATGTTTAGAAGTAGTGTAATCTTAAAGGATTCTATGTTAATGAGATGAATAAATGAGAACATTTAACATTATTATTATAAGCATGTTCAGTAAGACAGTTTGGTTATGGACTCAATGCTTTTTCTGAGTATATTTACTATAATAGTTCTAGTGTTAAATTGTACAGTACATGTATCAATGTTCTTTGCAGGCAATTCAACTTTTGAATGTAATGCATCCCTAAAAAAAAACAAAACTCAAAACAGTTGCATATTATAAAGAACTAGAAATTCTCCCATCCAGCATGATGGAATATTTTTTTTATGAGAAAGTAAAGATTGAAGAATTGAGAGAGCTCCAAGTTGAGTTTGACATTCTGTTGTTGTTTCAGTAGCCCTTGACAAAGTCATTCTTACTCAATGTTGCTCAAGTCAGACTTCAGTCTTCAGGGGTCTTGGTAATTCTTATTCTTTTAGGTCTAGAATTTACCTGACCAATTTTACTTTTACGCTTTCCCCTAGACATTTCCCCTCCGACAAAATAGTGAGTCTTTTTAATTCCACATTGAAAAACAAAGATGATTTCTATATATATTAATTAGGTGAACAATAACACTTTCTAAATAACAGGCTCATTAGATCATTACTTCCAATTGGATAATAGAACCTCACACGAGTGGTCACAAATTTTTTAAAAATTAGTTATAGAAGTGACATGATAAGGCTATCTATTTTTAAAATTTAAATTTAATGAAGCAAGTTTAAAATACACCATTTGCCAAAATATTTAAAAATGCAACTTAAAAGAAATTTCCTTGCCAAGCACGAATGTCATGTGATCATTGAAGTCACTGCAATGTACGTGCGATCACTGATCTCATTTCAATAAAACATTCTATAGCTGATACTTCCACAAAATAAGTCATCTATACTTTCAGTCAGAACATAAATCATAATCAAAATTTCATCTGGATTGGACAAAAATTGCAGGAGTTATAAGGAATTCACACACACACACAACATCTTTTATATTAGTAATGTTCTGTTTGCAAAGTTAAAAAGAAAACTTACAAAAATATCTTAAGAAAGTTTGTTCTTTTATAGTGAATACATTGTATTTATTTTAAAATTATTTGATGCTACTGAAACCAGACTTGATATGATAAAGTAGTGCTTTCTGCTAGTTTTGGCAGCAACCACCACTTCACCTTATCTTGTAATTTTTAATCAGCTGAAAAAGGTACAAAAGTCAATTTGGCCTACAAAAACAAATTAGGAACTATCAAAGTATTATGTACAAAAAAATGAATTGTCTGAAAATAAGGATTGCTCTTTTCTGTTCTTTATTACCACACTGACATCTATTTGCCACAAACCAATTTATCTAACTCACTGTTTTATACTAGATTAATTACTGCAAAAAACTAGACATACTAAAGAAAAAAAATTGAATCCAGTAACAAAAAATCAAATTTAATAAATAAGACCAAAAATGTTAGTTTATTTATTTATTTACAAGTAATGGAAAAATCTGAAGAAAAGAGATTTAAAGATTAAAAACAGTTCACTTGTTAAATTTTTTTTTGTTACTCGATTCAGCTGTTTTTTGAGTTAGTTTTATATTAGAAATTCTGATTTCCACTTTACCTTGTGGAAATTTTTATTACAGATGTCATTATATATGCTATTGTTTTGCATTTTTGAAATACTAGACAGTAGAGTCCCGTACAACACACAAATAAAGCAAGCAACACCCTCAAATTTTGCCAATCAGAGGTATATTGTTTTTTCCAACTTATAGGCCAAGGTATAAACTTTCATAAATCGTGTAATAATGCAGTATAATGTGTAACAAATCTCCTGCATTGTACAGGACTCTACTGTATATAAATTTAAATCCCACTAATTTCTTGTATATTACTTTGTAAACTCTCAATAAACAGGTACTTTCTGTAAATTAGGAAGTCATATTGAATGTTTGAATGACTATTTAAACTCCAAGAAAAACTGTAGATATGCAAACAGTCTGAGTTTATATTGAAAATTTGTAATTGAGTACTGTGCACAGAGTTTGCATTTTTTTTGGAATAAATTATAGGTAGGTAATGTGATTTAAGAATTAGCCCACAAATATTCAGCTTCAAGAAACAAATTTAAAACAAAAAATAGAATTATATGAATAACAAATAAATAAATAATAAAACATTAATAGATCTTTTTGTTTTATCTTCTTCTTAGATATTTTTAAAAATATACTTTTACTTAAATTTAAAACAAATTTTAAGTAATAAAAAATTGTCAGACATTTTTAGAAAGAAATTAAAATTTGAATTCTAAATACTAATTAACAATTAGTCATGCAATAAATAACCTGTTGCTTGTTAATAAATAATCGGTTATTAGAATTTTGACATTTCCATATTACTTATACATACCAGTGTGTAAGAGAGAGAGAAGCATGCTACAATACAGAAGCCATAAATTTCACAGGAAAAAGACATCAACTTTTTACTGAACTATTTACACATTTCATGCATTATAGCTTGTATATCTAAATGAGAGCTAGGTTTGAAATTCCAACAGTATAATTACTAATCAAGACTGGCTTTAGGTTTTTTGCTGCCCCATATTTTTAAAAATGGGATAAAAAATATATAAAATAAATTAATTTGTATATATAACATAATTTTTATAAAATTAAATTACAACTAAAATGAAAAAATTAATTTTTTTGTAGAATTTTTATAGAATTACTTTTTGTGAAAATGCTATCTCTAAAAATGTGTTACCCAAGCAGTTTTGTTCTCTTTGCTAGATAAAGTTTCTCAATCAGTGTGCAAAATATTTTGGCTGCAAAAAAATGCATGTTGGATGTAAACTATTTTTATTTTCTTCCCTAATTTGCACATAATTATGGCATTTCTACTTGATGTTAAAAAAGTTTATATGATAAACACATCAATTAAAATTTATATAGGTGCTCTGTATCACAAAATTTGTAATGTGCAAAATTTTAGTTATTATGGAAAAGTTATTTTGTATAAATATAAAACTTTTTCTTTAAGTTATTAAAATAATTATCAATAGTTTTAAGTTTAATTAAAAAAGAAAATTATGTAAATGGTACTCACTGTTTTACAAAATATACATCCACAATTGTCCAACTGATGCATTTCAGAAATTGGCATCATTACTAAACAAAGCCTACACAATATCAAATGATGATTAAAGTCACATTTAATATTTGATTTAGAAGATACATCTATAACATTTACAATATTAGTTTTCCAAGAGTGCCCAGTTTCTAGACTAGTATTCGCTTTAGGACATAATGTACTTTCTGGAGACACATTTTGACTACTTTTGGAAACTACTGAACCTGAATTTTCCATCCAGGTAGAATGCAACATCCCATATACATCACCACTGCTAAATGAAGTTTTGAAAGGACTTTGTTCCAAAGGTTTATTATTACATGGAGACGGACTCTTGCTTCTGGATGGCCACAGTCTTCCAAACATATAAGATGAACTGAATTTTTTACCATTATTACACACTGTTAAATTAGCATCACAGGATTTTGATAGACGTACTTCAGATTTCTGATGATGGACTTTGGTTGAAGTGGGATTTACAGCTTTTCCTGTTTTGCTTTCCCTATTTCTTCTCAACAACCACTTGAAAGAGAAATGACTATTACTTTGCTTCTCTAAGTTCTCCATTTTCCATACCAATCACAGAGTTACAGTTTGATAAATTACTGATATAGTCAGTATTTAAAGGTTTGTAAAATACAAAGCTACTAATTGTCTTGTAGTCATCTGAAATCACCAGCTGTAAAAATTAAATATAAAAATTATTAGAAAGATTTTGAAAATTAAAAATAATTTTAAATACAAACAAATGAAAATACTGTTCAAATTTTGTGAAATTTGTAATATATATATTATTATCATACAATATAATATATTTTTTTTTTCTTTCTTTCAAATATCAAACATTTACAATACATTAACCTGCTAAAAATCTAATTCTTACAGATTTAAAACTATATGGATAAAATGATGCATAAAAATCAGGGCCGTGGAGTTGGAGTTGGGAAGTTTTGGTGTTTTAGCCAGAGTCGGACTCAACTCTGCCAAAAAATCCGCTGACTCCAACTCCTTTTTACTTACCAACTTGTTATGTATATAAAATGGAAAAGTATTGGAATCGTGTCAAATTTGACCCTCCAAGATTTTTTTTTTTTGCAAATCTACACGTTTGGAGACCTCCTGAACCCTCAAAACAGTCAATAAAGGGGAAAAATTTGCACGCGTGTGTATTGGCATCTAATTTGTTTAATTTCTTTATTTTCTATTCTGAGATATTAAACAATATCTCAGAATGGGTAAAGTTTAAGAAACAAAATGTGGTACTGTAGCTTGCGTATAAAGGGGCATTAATACTATTAAATTTTGGTTCTTAATTAAAGGTCGACAGGGTGAAGACATAAAAGGGGTCATGTGTCATATCTCTTAATGAATATTTTACTCATTATTAGCGTTAAAAATTAAAAAAAATAAAATAAAACTCGTCTCTACCCTCAAAGTAAGCTTTTTTGCATTTTATAATAGTACAATAAAACCCGTTAAGATGTTCTCACCTAAGATGTTAGAATGTATATGGGAACACGATTTAGTTCAACCACTTTGACGTTTAATAACTAACTCCTGTGTTAAACCATCTGACTCCGATTCTGACCACTCTGATCACAGAAATTATTAGGCTTCAAACAGGGTGAACAAAATCATGCCCTTCACACACAGTCTAACATCCACACACATAAAAAAAAACCTTGAATCTTTTGCATATCTCGAAATTTCAAGGTGTCCTGAGTCCAAAAATGTAAGAATTTGTGAGGGGTCATTTTTGACCGAGTGCTACACTTTTTCCTCTGTTATATATAACAGCCAGAAAAGTAAAAATTATCAAATACATGTTTATATATTACTTAGAGAAGTCTTTTAGCTTTGGAATAAAAAGTTTCTACGCTCTATCTTTATTAGAACTCTATTTATTGAGTCTTATATTCTGAGGTCACATGATGACATCAGAATTTCTGAGTCTCTTTCGGTAACAAGCCTGCCCCTGGTCGGAGTCGGAGTCAGACAGTAAGGAAAAGTCGGAGTCGGTAGATTTTTACGCAACTCCACAGCCCTGATAAAAATACAAATGTCATGCACAAGTTTTATTTTATCACTAATTCAGTTTACATTTTTGTTTTTCATAACTCTCTCCATTAAGTTATTTATTTAAATTCAGTTGAAATTTATCTACATCAATATATTGAAAAGTTTATCTTTTTGTTTTGATATCTAAAATATGTCAGCAAGAGAATGAAACTTTAATAGTCTTAAAATTATATATATATATATAT